TCTGAAGAATCCTTGATAAAAAGTCCAAGTTACACACATTGTGTCTCTGAACGACATGAAGATAATGATTTTCGTTCTCTTAAATTTCCAAGAAAGCTCGGGAAAATGGCTGGGAATGACCAGCTTAAATCCATCTGGTGGGATGATAATAGAGCTTCCATAGTGATTGATGAAGATGCCTTTAAGGAGGAAGATTTGGAGAGAAAGGCCCCTTTCAGAATACTTGAAACTGGAAGAATGAAAAGTTTAGTTAGACAGCTTAACCTTTATGGGTTTAGAAAAGTGTGGCAGAATTTTCAAAGCTATGTTTGTCTGGCTGAATTTCTGGCAGAAGTCAAAGAACTCTCTGTTTTAAGCAAGGTATACAGAAATTTTAGTTACCACTTGGTAACTTATGTATAAGTTTTATTTTGTACTTCAAACTATGGTAAAATAAATGTAAAACTAGATTTTGTATATTGTATAAAACTACTAAGAATAAAATCCTTTATTTTTTTCTAAAAGAGTGACAGTGCCTTAAGTAGTCAAGATAATGAGAAACTTTGCTTGCAACTATGAATCTTAACAGAAATCTAAATAAAGGTATTAAATCTGCTTTTAAAACGTAGCATTCACCTTTACTGAAAATGGTAACTTCTTAAATTTGATGACTATGCTATTTAAATGTGTATTTTCCCAATAAGGATCTTCAAAATATCGCAAGCAATGTTCATATTTTGATGATATAATCTTTGTATAATAAACGTGAAATCTGAGGTTTTATAGGTTAGGCTTATTGTAGTCTTGTATTTTGGTTTAAAACTCTATTTAAATCTTTCTCTTTTGGTTATAGCTGCAGTTCTATCATAATCCAAATTTCAAACGAGGCTGTCCCCAGCTTTTAGTGAGAATAAAAAGAAGACTAGTGATGAAAAATGCCTCTCTGGTATCTTCATTGGCTGAAGATTACAAAAAGACACACTTTAAAGCAGAGGGTAATGTGGATAATCATAATTCTGATTTTGTGTCTGACACTAGTGGAGAAAGTGCATTTTTACCTTCTGCAAATTGAAACTTGCCTCTAATAATAAAGCCCACTACTAGCCACATAATTGATGGTACAACTATCCTGATCAGATGTGAGTTTTCTCCTCCATCATCAATGTCACTTAGACCACCAGAACAAATTGCAGTGGATCAACGTGCTATTTTAAATCACTTGACCACAGTCCACAGGCAC